TGTGTAACCAAGGTTACACAGATGCCCCGTGACCTGCCAGTCATGCTGGTGCGACCATAGTTACAGGTATCCTATCCTAACTGATTGACAGAATGCTGTCGCCGTAATACCATCTATGTATTACATAGATGATTATTCAAATTTTCGCCGTTGATGGGTTTTGAACTCACAACCTACCACTTGGGGGGTTGGCAACTTATCCACTTCACTAAGTCGCCACACCCCTAAGTTGGCACAAATAATTAGCATATAATTAATAAAAATAAATCACAAACAGTTATTTTTTGAGATGCTAAATTAATATTAATTACAAGGTTAGTCTGATTTTGTTTCTAAGCAAAAATTTGACCTCTTTTTTTTGTTTCTTCATTAAATTTTATGTCACTTTGCAAATTACTAAACAGCAAGTTTATATATTCTAATTTTTTTTCCTCTTTAATTTTAATAGTTCAGCTTGAAATGCTTGAATGAGAATTTTAAGTTCTGATAATATAAATGCCTTTTCAAATACACTCTTAGTACTATCACAATGAGCCCAGATCTTGAGTTAAGCAAGTGCAAGACCAAGATCTTCTGACAACATATCTTTCTTGAATATAAAAAACTTGGTTTTTGAATTGTTTTTTTTTATAATATTTTTTAAGTCAGCATTCATTGCTTTAACATTTTCTTGCAAATTTGATAAACCTTTTTTAGAAACATATTTCTTAAACTGCTACCATGTTCATTGTCTACTTTGCATATATATTTTAATCAATTGTATTAATAAAAATTTTTCAACCTCTTCTGACAGATGATTTTCATCATTAATATAACACTGATGCTTATATAATTTTTGCAAAATAGTATGAAACTGCTTTTTCAAAAGCTGGTTGTTTATAATGCAATTATTGATATAGATCAAAATAACAGGCTTATATTCATTATGTTTTTCAAACAATTGAAAAACAAGTGACTTTAAATAATATATAAATTGAATGAATTCAGCTTCTAAAATGATTGTTGTTTTTTTAAGTAGGTATTAGATTCATACTCCACATTTTTAGTATTTAAAGTACTCAAGCATGATCTTATTTTTATAAAGTCTTGATATGCCATAATTGGTGAGTTACTTTTAATCAACTTATAAATAATCTATCCAATGATAAAAGAAATTTCAAAGCCTTATATGATTTCAAAATAATAATGTTTTGGGGTATAGTCCATGATTCTGTTTGATTTATAATAAACTTATCATTATTTTGTCTATTGCATGATTGCTTAAATTGCTTAAATGAAAATTTGATCATTTTTTCTAACAATATATAAGCCACTAACTACTTAACTTCTATATTAATATTATCTAAAACTAATAATTAAAAATTAAAGAACTGCCCTCTAGGTTGATAGTGCAGTAATTAGTGCTCTGGGAGTTACAATCACAAGGTTGCTAGTTCGAGTCCAACTGAAAGATAAAAGCTGTGCCAAGACTTAGATTGGAAATGATCTTTAAGAAGAGCTTTTCACTTCAGATGGATTACTACAATGATAAATAAGTCATGTGACATAGCCACAAAGGTCATGTGACATCCAAAAAAGAGAAAATTCAACAAAAAATATTATTAATATAAGGTTTTTCAGCTTAAAGTAATATAAAAAAATGAATAATAAAAGAACAATCTGGCTAGTAGGTCATATAAAGTTAGAAAATTGCAGACCAAATAAAGATAGTAGGTTTTATACTATAGAACCAGAAATCCAGAACATTATATGATGGACTTAACAGAGCATGAGCTATCTTATGCATATAATGATGAATATAAGGGCTATCTGCTATCCAATGATCTTTGCAGAATGATAACTCTGGTCTTTAAGAGATGTGACAAATCCTAAAGATGTTTAAGGACCTTCAGGATAGTAAAGGAAAATAAAATCAAAAAAAAAATCAAAAAAAAATTAAAGAACCAATTGCCTGTACTCTTATAATTATTCAAATGACTTTCTAAATTTGTTAGCTACATTGCCATCTATTGGGCACCTTTTTTTGTTAAAACAGAGTTTAGTGCTATTTGATAAATTTTTTTTAACCAAAAAATCAAAAGATTATCTATACTGCCATGATGTAGTAAGTATTTAATTAAATGTGCTTTTTCAAGTTGCAAATGGTTTATAGCTATATTTTTTGTCCTAATTTTTTTATTATTGAAGGATAAAGGTAACTATATCTGTCCTATTACTAGCTCATTATCCAAAATTTCTTTAAAGATTTGGCTACTTATAATAGAAAGTTCCTCAATTCAAGTTTTTTAATGAATAAATTTCTCTTGATATTAATTTTCTGATTGTAATGCTACTCAATAATCTCTAAAAAATAAATCTTAGATTAATGTGCTTTATTTATAAAATTAATATGCAATGTTAATTTACTTTTATTTTAAACTAGTAAGTGCACAATCTGAGCTATCCACTAAACTATAATTTAGACTTTATATTATTAATGACATTTGCATTGTGACCATTAATTTATTTATAGCATATTTGTAAAATTGAACTGTTTGTGTAAAGAAATCACTACTCATCTCTCTGATTGTTCTGAATAACCTTTCAAGTATATCTTGAGAGATTCTTCTAGATTGAATTACTGCACCTGGCCAGTTGCTAAGTATATATTCTATAATTTCAAGAAAACTATTAATAGACAAAACCAGATCAAACTGATACTAAGCAGAAAACTATTGATTTGAAGTTTTTTTTTTCTTATTGCCCTAAATAAACTACTGTTTTATTTCTTTTAAAGTGTTTAAACATGGGTTTTTAAGAGAAAATATGCATATCTGACTATGTGTAATATTTTAATACATTCTTGCATAATTAATAAATAGCTAAAAATTTATTATACTATTAATAATGCTAGTTAATGCTAATCAAAATTACAAAATTTGATATGCTGAATTTTCAATTTTGATTTATATAAAAATTTAATATATAATCTGAGGCCTTGAGAAATATTTTTTAATTCTGGAATTTCTGCTATCGCTTTTTTAACTTTTTGTGATAATATATGTTCTGCAAGATCTACTCTCATCTTGTCTAAGATGTAAACCAAATATATTATTTTGTTAGCTTAGTAGTTTTTGCTATTATATAGTTTATAGTATAATCATATACTTTTTTAAAGTGCCTTTAGCTAATTTTTTAATTGCTAAACATTATCCCTCTTATATTTTTGTTCTCATTATTATCTATATGACTTTTTGAGACATTATTTCTTAATTTTTTAAATGCATGAGTCAGATCATTTAAAAAAAATCATTTTTTATTTGTTACAGAATTAATTATAAGATGTCACATCCAATTTTGGCTTTTATCATAGGCTGAATGAATATTACTAAGTAATGATTTTCATATAGTTTGCTCAACTTTTTCAATAGTTTTAATTGTAACCTCAATATCTAAATAGTTATTTACTAGAATTTTACTATATCTTTATTAGAATATTATTTATTGTCAATTGTGTTCTGAACTTTGCACTAGTTATTAATATGTCAAATAGTTTTTGCAAGCATTGGAGATCATAAAGCAAATTGCATAACATTATGACAAGATGGTTTTATTTTTTTTATTTTTTTTTAAAGAAAGATCTATCCTCTATCTCTTTTATTTATAATCAATTATACATATATAAGATGAATATATGTAAAAAAACTATATTATAGGAGATGGGAGTAAGAGCTACTTTACTCTCGACCTATTCTTTGCTAGGATAGTCATTAAACCTCTAGTCTTCAAGAAGGTGCATTATAGAAGTTAGTTCATTGTTTGTGTATTTTACTAGTTTTTTTTCTAGAAAATATAAGGCCAAAGGCTTAGTTTTGTTTAGTATTGGAGTCTGTATTGGGGCCAGGTTTGAAAGAATTGAATCATAACTTGTCTTTCTAGAGACTAGCCAAATTGTTTTGTATATTTCTGTAATAATGTTATGATGTA